CCAACACTAACGGCATATCTTGCTCCACTTGTTGAATCTTGCTTTGATCCCAGCTCTGGACAGGCCATGGTAATGAATATTGTGTTGTCGAAGATTTTTCTTTTGTGTTTAAAGAATTTAATAATATCTTTTACATAGGAAAAATATATGTCCTTGTAAAATCTGCATCTTTTAAAATAAAAAATTGGATGGCTGCCCTCATCATTAATTGTGATCATTCTTGCATGTAGAGTTAGTCTGCCATTTATCGAAGGTGTTAAAAAAGGTGAATGTTTCTTAAATTGCTAGACTCACATCCCTTGTGATGATCCTATTTCTTCTGACAGAAGCTGATAGCAGCCCATGAAAAGGAAAACATGAATTTCCTGCTTACTTGTTTCATACTATTGTTGTAAAAGGCAAAATACACAATAGTGAAGAAAACACATGGGCATGGTAGGCTCTAAACAACCAATCATATACACAAAGGCTATGTCTACATAACCATGTTATTTCAAAATAAGTTATCTCCAAAAATAACTATTTCAAAATAAGCTTAGTCCTCTTCACAAGCAGGAGTTATTATTTCAAAATAACAAGCCCAGTATTTTGAAATAACAGGCTTGATAGTGTGGATGCTCACTTTGTTATTTCAAAATTTTGAAATAACTCCGTAGGGTAGACATGCCCAATAAATGCTATGTGGAAAAGAAGCAACTACAGGGGGACATGATAGAGGCCTATAAAATCATGAATGGTGTGGAGAAAATAAATAAGGAAAAGTTATTTTCTCCTTCCCATAACTCAAGAACTAGAGGCCACCAAAAGAAATTAATAGGCAGCTAGTTTAAATCAAACAAAAGGAAGTATTTCTTCACACAATGCACAGTCAACTTTTGGAACTCCCTGCCAGAGGATGTTGTGAAGACCAGGTCTTTAGCAGGGTTCAAAACTGAGCTAGAAAAATTCATGCAGGATAGGTCCATCAATGGCTATTAGCTAGGATGGGCAGGAATGATATCCCTAGCCTCTGTTTGTCAGAGCTGGGACTGGGCGAAAATGGATGGATCACTTGTTGTTCACCTGTTCTGTTCGTTCCTTCTGTGATACCTGGTATTGGCCACTGTTGGAAGGCAGGATACTAGTCTAGGTGGACCTTTGCTCTGACCCAGTATGGCTGTTCTTATATCTATATACACACACAGCTACTCAGGATGATTTCTAAACATACAAAATACTAAGCACCATTAGAGGCCTCTCAAACTATTTAAAGGGATACTGAGCTATTCTTATACAGTAGGGCTGCGTCTAGACTGGCAAGTTTTTCCGCAAAAGCACCTGCTTTTGCGGAAAAACTTGCCAGCTGCCTACACTGGCCAACTGCACTGAAATCAGTGCTTCTTGCGGAAATACTATGCTGCTCCCGTTCGGGCAAAAGCCCTTTTGCACAAAGCTTTTGCGCAAAAGGGCCAGTGTAGACAGCTCAGATTTGATTTGCGCAAAATAGCCCTGATCGTGAAAATGGTGATCGGGGCTTTTTTGTGCCAAAGTGCGTCTAGATTGGCACGGACGCTTTTTCGCAAAAAGTGCTTTTGAGGAAAAGCGTCCATGCCAATCTAGACGCTCTTTTCCACAAATGCTTTTAACGGAAAACTTTTCCGTTAAAAGCATTTGCGGAAAATCATGCCAGTCTAGACGTAGCCTAGTAGTACAGCTATAAAGGCAACAAAAACAAACTAATCTACTATGCACTGAGTAGTTTTAGAATAGATGCTTCTGCAGAGTCTTAAGAGGAAACAAGTCAGCATGAAACAGATGTTATTAAGTTGACCTGTCCATATATTTAAATACTTCCAAAACACACTAGTCTTCTTTCATCATGTCCCTCTCATCTTCCTTCCTCCAAAGCCGCCCTCTCCTCCCTGAAATATGAAGTAAAGCATTTATCTGAGAAGAGAATACCTGAGCATGCTTCATGCTGCCAGCACTAAACCATCCTTAGAATTTCTAAAAATTAGATTTCCTTGTGGAAAAAAATCTATACCCAATAGAGAATTTTAACAGATTAAACAGGTATTGATCGCAAAATTAAAACCTACTGAATGCTTAGGTATAGTTGATTTGATTACTTATGTGTAAACAGAATTATATCCAGTTATACTTGGTACTTTTAAAGGGCCAGTTTTATATAGCTGAAAACAATTATGAGACAAGGGGCTTTGTGAAATAATTTAAACAGAAAATGTGAATAACGAGGAATTGTTGAAGAACATTTTACTATATGACCCAAAAAAGTCACATTTCCACAAATGAAGAACAAAAACTATTAGACCTTTCCTTCCTTCCTTCCTCCCTCCCTAAGCCAGGAAGTGAAAACAACTATTTAAAAAATTGATAGCAATGAATATAAAATACAAGCCAAGAATTTTAGGAAAATGTATAAGAGAAGCAAAAGGAAAGAGAAGAAATCTATAGGCAGCAGAGTTAAGGACAGTAAGTAGCAGTTTAAGTACATCAAGAACAAATGAATCCTAACAATGGTAAACAATGGTAGATAGATAGATAGATAGATAGATAGATAGATAGATAGATAGATAGATAGATAGATAGATAGATAGATCAGAAAAGGAAGAACTAGTCAATAAATGTGTTCTATATTTGGGAAAAAGCAAGATGTATTTATATCATATGATGATAAAATGCTTTCTATTCCTACAGTAATTAAGATGCTAAACAGCATCTACTAAAGTTAGACATTTTTAAATCAACAGGTGCAGATATCTTGCATCAAAGAAATTTAAGATCTGGCCAGGGAGCCATCTGGACCATGATTTTCAATAAGTCTCATTACCCAGGAAAAGTTCTAGAAAACTGGAGGAACACTAATATTGTCTTTAATTAAAAGGAATACACAGGATGATCCAAGTGACTTATGTTATGTCTACACTACAGAGAAGATCAAAGTTGGCACTGTCAAACTTCCAGGGTTCAAATAAGTAGGTCTAGTGAAGACAGCTAATTCAAACTGAGAGGGGAACTCCGGTCGATGCTAAGGATGTTAAGTAACAGCTAATTTACTAGTTGAGTAGTCGATGGAATTTCCATTGACTACTCAACTAGTCGACAGGCACTTCCACATTCCTCCTTTGTAGAGTCCCATCGGTAGCGGAGGAATGCGGAACTCTGTGTGCTGCTGACTCCGGGCTGCACACGGCGTGCCAGCTTTGAAATGTACAGGAGTCCCCAGTGTGGGCTCCACGCTGTGCGTCTGCTCTGAAATGCCACACGGAGCCGTGGTCAGCTGGGGACTGCCCAGCTGATCCCAGGCTCTGCACAGCATTTCAGCAGAACCTGGGATCAGCTGGGGAGGCTCCAGCTGACCCCGGGCTCCACGCGCAGCAGCACCACACAGCTGATCCCAGGCTCAGCTATGCAGTGCTGCCACTTTGAAGTACCCCCACTTCCCCCCCCCTTTTCCCCCCCCGACTGACTATCTGTTAAGCAACGGGGGGAGGGATAGCTCAGTGGTTTGAGCATTGACCTGCTAAACCCAGGCTTGTGAGCTCAATCCTTGAGGGGACCATTTAGGAATCTGGGGCAAATCTGTCAGGGATGGTACTTGGTCCTGCCATGAGGGCAGGGGAGTGGACTCAATGACCTCTCAAGGTCCCTTCCAGCTCTATGAGATAAGTATATCTCCATATATATTATATTAACATCCCTAGCCAATGCCAGTAGTCCTGCTTCCATGAGGAGTAAGGAAAGTTGAAGGCAGAGTGTTCTCCCTTCAACTTCCTGCAGTGTTGACAGTGCCTAAAGTCGAGTTAAGGTACTTCAGCTACGCAATTAACATAGCTGAAGTTGCGTATCTTAATTTGACTTTATCCCATAGTGTAGACATATCCTTACACACCTGTCAGTCTGGTGTTCCCAAGTAAAACAGTGGAACAGCTGCATCAAAGAGCATTGCCTGTAGCGCACGCTGTTGGCTACAATGGCTTTACTGAAGCACGCCTCAGTTTTCATTTAACTCTGCTCTCCTGCCTCTTAATTCCACACAGGCCAGATGTTCAAAATATTTCTCCTTCTGGGGTCCAATTTTTCTAAGTCCTCCAAATCTTTCTGAAGAAAATTAAAACGTAAAGTCTTCATCCCAGTTTTAACTGGGCCCTGAGGATCTGTCTTCCCCTCTGTTTCAACACTCCCTAAAGCGAACAGACTCCCATTTCCCCTCCTCAGGGGTCTGCCTTCTTGCTCTCTCAGCACCTTTTGCTTTGAGTTTGGCCTTCTTCACAGACCTTTCTTGTGTAGATTTGACTAAGGGCCCTTATTCCTGGCAGTATCTGCAAGCATCTTCCCCTCAATTCACAGCTCTCTTTCCCAGCCTCCACACTCCTCCTTTATAAGGTCCAGAGGCCTTTCTGGAAGCAATAATGGGCAGCAAGTAATTACTCCAGGTGCACTGGACCCCCATCACTTTCACTCCCGTTTATGGGGCCAGACACACTGTGGCAGGCTAATATGGAATAATGCTAATTAATTCAAGTTTATGAAAAACAGATCTTGTCAAACTGACATTAATAAGCTTACAAGTTTGTCAATAAAAATAGTAAGTGTTGATTTAACATACTTGGAGTTCTGTAAGACTTGGTTTCACACAACATTTTGATTAAGTAATTGGAATGATGCAAAATTGACATGGCACACACTGAATGGATTAAAAGATGACTAATGGATAGGACTCAAATCTTAATTGTAAATGGGGAATCAACACAGAGCAGAGGATGTCTAGTGAGATCCCACAGGACCAGTTCTTGACCCTGTGCTACTTAACATTTTTCATGAATGACCTGGAAGAAAACAAAATCATCACCAATGAAATCTGCAGATGAGATAAAGTTTGGAGGAGTGATAAATAAGGAGGAGGACAGGTCACTGAAATGGAGCGATTTGAACCTCTTGGCAAGGTGTGCACAAGCAAATAATATATGTTTCAGTACAGACAAATAATAAGGTAATACCTATAGGAAGAAACAACATACACCGTACTCACAGGCTGGGGGGCTGAATCCTGGAAATCAGTGACTCTGAAAAAGATGTTTATAGATAGGAAAATCAGATGAATGTGAATTCCCAGTGCAAGACTGTGGGGAATAAGGCTAATGTAATCCTTGGATATAAAAAAGGTGAATTTTAAGTAGAAGTAAGAAGGTTATATTACCTCTGTATTTGGCACTGGTGTGGCCATCACTGGTATACTGTGTCCAGTTCTGGTGTCTAAATTCAAGAAGGATATGGAAAAAGGAAATATTTCATCCAGTCCAGACAATCACTGGGGAAGTAATTTCTTGTAACATATACTTCAGCCCATGATGGCAAAACATAAGAATAAAAATGGAAACTGAGTAATTGGAGAACATTATCATTATCTATTGTACCCAATTGCTTTCAAGGCACCAGTACTACAGGTCACTAAAATAAACTGAAAAAAACAATAGTCTGGTAGCACTTTATAGACTAACAAAACATATAGATGGCATCATGAGCTTTTGTGGGCACAGCCCACTTCTACAGATGACCTGAGTGTTGGATGTCTAGGACCAAAATAAATAGCAGAGACGGGGGAGTGGGGTAGAGTGGAAGAAGGGAAAATTGGGAGGGGCGGAGAACAAGCAAAGGCAGTGGGTAAAAAATATATCAAGGAAAAGCTGAGTCTATAAGCACCTAAAGACTAGATAGTCAAGGGGGCAGATAAGAACCATTAAATAGCAAACAACAAAGAGTCAGGAAACACTTAAAGACTGATGAAACATCTAGATGATATCATGAGATTCTTCAAAGACAAAGAACCATTGTCGCCCTTATTGTTTGATAGGTAGATAATGACCTAACCATCCAGTATGACGTGTGAGAATTGAATTTGGGAATGAGCTGAAGCTCCAGTCCTTCCCTGTGGATTTGGCTTCTGTAATTGGTTTGTAACAAAGCAGCCACTTGAAGATCTGTTAATGCATGCCCAGGGAGATTAAAGTGTGCCCCCACAGGCTTTTGTATGTTCCCTTTATGAATATCTGATTTGTGTCCATTAATTCTTTCACATAGGGACTGTCCAGTTTGTCCAATATATATTGCAGTGGGGCATTGCTGGCATTTGATGGCATAGATTAAATTACTGGATGTGCAGTTGAATGACCCTCTGATTTGGTGGTTTATGTGGTTGGCTCTAGTAATGAGTTTGCTTGTATAGCTATGTGGGCAGAGTTGGCACCCTGGCTGATTGCAGGGATGGGTTCCTGGATGTTTGTGATGTAGCTGTGCAACAAGGGTATTGGAAAGAATACGTTTCAGGTTGGGGGGGGGGGTGTCTATAAGCGAGAATAGGCCTTTCCCCCAAGGCCTCTGACAGTGAGGCAATGTCTACACGGCAAGGTTTTTGCGCAAAAACCCATGGAGCGTCCACACCTCAAATGCGCTTTTGCGCAAGTAAATGAACAGTAAAACGGCAGAAGGGAGGGCTTTTTCCAGTGTTGGTAAACCTTATTTTACGAGGCATAACTCCTTTTTGCGCTACAGCTATTGCACAAAAAGACAAGTGTGGATGCTCCAGAGGAAAAAAAGAGAAAAATGGGAAAAAGCACAGGTGCTCTGATGGCCATTCTGTGAATGGCCATCAGAGCATTCTTGCGCAAGAACGTCCATGCAGTGTGGACACTCTCTTGCGCAAGAAGTTTTTGCGCAAAAACTCTTGCACAAAAGGCTTCTTGCACAAGAAGCACGCAGTGTAGATGTAGCCTGAGGGATCATTTTCCAAGATAGGTTGTAGATTGTGGAGAGGTTTGAATTGTGGACTGTGGGTGATGACGTGGAATTCTGTTATTTTCTCTTTTGGGTGTATCTTGAAGTAGTTCATGTCTGGGTACTTTTTTGGCTCTGTCAATTTGTTTTTTCACTTCTCCCAGGTGGGTATTTCAGTTTTAGGAAAGCTCTATAAAGATCCTTTAGGTGTTTGTCTCTGCCTGTGGGATCAGAGAAAATCCAGTTGTATTTTAGGGCTTAGCTGTATACAACAGATTGAAAAATGTGTCTGGGATGGGAGCTGGAGGCATGAAGGTAAGTGTAGCGGTCAGTGGGTTTCCGGTATAGGGTGGTAGAGATTTGTCCATTTTTTAATTGTATTGTAGTTTCCAGGAAGTGGATTTCCCGTGTGGACTGGTGCAGGCTGAGGTTGATGGTGGGGTGGAAGTTGTTGAAATCCTTGTGAAATTCTTCGAGAGTTGGATATAACAGGATAACCATTCACAAGGTTAACGGATAAGCCTGGGCTTATCAGTTACCATGAATAACATGCAGGTTCCTGCCTGGGTCCTGAGGAGCTGGCTGCCACCTGGCACTGCAGGCTTTGTATCAGAGCCCACAGTGCTGGGCAAGAGCCCATAGCACAGGGCAGTCAGTGCACACTGGGAGCTGGCTTAAAAGCTGGCTCCTGGGGCACTGGCTGCCAGCCCGCATGGCATAAGTGTAACCGCGTAACCACTGAGATTTTCAGCGGTTACATGGTTACCCAGTTACCTTCATTTTAACATCCTTATTTCATACCAAATTGGGTGGTCTAAGCTCTTACTATTTAGGAGGAGTTCTAAATTCACAAGTACCTGTTATATCTGGGGACTTCTGTTGCCAGTAACTGTAGCCGTAGAGATCACTAGTGGCTTTCATTTCTCTTTAACTCTACGTATCATGGGTTTTATAATACATTTTGTTATAGGCTGTTACACAGTGTGCAAATGATTAAATATTTAATAGCTAATATCTAATTTTACAAATAGGTAATATGTCTGACAATATTAACTTTTTACAAATTATGATCTCTGGACAGTTTAATCTCTTAAATTGATGTAATAGTCCAAAACATCCTTACATATGTGGGTTCATGTTATTTACAAAATGTTTTGTCTTAAAAGGGCAAAAGGAAGGCTCTATGAGCCTCATGAAGAGTGCTCCACAGTGGAGAAGAAAAGCCTTATGCCTGTAGTAAGCATAATGCCTTCAGGGTTCCTGGGGTGAAGAGGAGCAAGATTGCTGTCAATGCTAGCTTCCCCCCATTTGTGCTTTTGACTCCTAGATGGCGGTGCCAGCAGGGTCCTTCAGAGCCTCTCACCTTCCAACACACTTTTGTCAACCCGGCAGTAATTTGTCCCATTATCTATTAATGCAGAATATAGATCACTATAACACTGTATAGGGCAGGGTAAGGAAGAAATGGTGTAACACATTTTATAAACACTCTTATCTTCTGTTGCAATGGAGAGACAAACACATAGCTGCCTATTAACGCTGAATGAATTATGAATAAACTCATTACAAATGTACACCCAGCATTAAGTATTACCTGGCAGTGTGACATCCTTGAGTGTGAACAAGTGTCTCCAGGGAAAGGCCACTGCTTCTGACAGGAGGGATGCAAAGAGGTGACTTATTAACTATCTACTACCCTGCTTTTCCAACCACCATGCATGCTGGCAGCTCTATATCACTAAGCCATCTGCATTCTCCAACAGCAGCCCACCAACCAGCCAAGTGAAGTCTCAGCCTCTGTACAAAAGTGAAAAACACTAGCGCGGGAGATTGGGGGGCCTGTTTGTCCAGGGTTTGCAGAGCGCCTGGCGCCCTGGGGCAGAGGTGCCCGTTGACACAGCGCCTGGTTCCCTGGGGCAGAGGGGCCGGTTTACACAGCGCCTGGCGCCCGGGGCTGCTGTAGCAGCCCACCAACCAGCCAAGTGAAGTCTCAGCCTCTGTACAAAAGTGAAAAACACTAGCGCGGGAGATTGGGGGGCCTGTTTGTCCAGGGTTTGCAGAGCGCCTGGCGCCCTGGGGCAGAGGTGCCCGTTGACACAGCGCCTGGTTCCCTGGGGCAGAGGGGCCGGTTTACACAGCGCCTGGCGCCCGGGGCTGCTGTCTC